GATATGCTTTCCCTTTTTCAGGCCAACTGTTCCTGTGGGTTTCTCCAACCTTACCCTACCTTGTTTCCAAGGAACCACATTGGACTTTCGTGGTATTTCACCATCATGTGCAGTCGTTTCCCAAGACTGTTTGCAAAGCTGACTGTGCAGTGACTGTGCATTTGGCAAGACAGAATTCGCTCATAAAACACCAATCAGGCAGGCAGATGTCACTCCACCAGCTTCCTTATCACAAGCTTATACACACACACACACACACACACACACACACACTGGTGGGGGAGGGGCGGGTGTGGGACCCATAGCTCACTCCCTGTTTCTGTCTTGCCTCTGGAAGATTCACTGGTGGCAGCCACTACCCCCTCAGTTTTTATGCCCTGAAGGTAGCATGGTGTAAGCTCAGCCCGGGCCAGATGACAATTTTCACGAATTGTTTACAGTGCTCTAATTTTTACATTCTCTTAAAGGATCTGTGTGTGTGCTGATTGCAGAAGGTAATATTTCCAGCATCAGTAACCATGGTAATGAATCATCCTCCTCAGAATGAGTGCCAGCTGCACGAGTGTCTAGCTAGTAGCACCCTGGTGTTCCGCTAATGAGCGGTTTCATTAGCAATGGAAGGAAGGACATTTCCACTTCTTCACTTCTTTGCATGTTTTGTCAAAGGCTCCTCCTTGGGAGCAACATTTAAAAAAATTAATCCCATTTGGCAAAACCTTGATGCCCAAAGGGAAACATTCCTTAGTCCAGAAAGTGGAGCGTGCAGGAGCATCCCTTTGAAGCCTGCATGGTGTTCTGTCTGCCGTAGTCTGCTCTAGCCCCAGCATCCCTAGTGCCTTTCTTTTCTCCATAGAAAACACTCCATCAGCATTTTCCTTTGACGGTATAGGAGTTTAAATATTTTAAAGTCTTATGCTATGAATAATTTAAGATAAATAAAGCAAGCTTCTAAACTCCCTTTGAATTATATAACAGGAGCTTTGAAGTGTGTTAGCATTCTATCTTACCAGATTTTTTTTTTTTTTTTTTTGTGGGAAGACTGAAGTGGGAATGAAGTCACTGCTATCTTTTATCTGATGATGAAGCTGAGAGGCTGAGCATCTTCTGAGCCGCACAGAGATAAGAGCCTGATGTAATGGATGCTGCTCCATGTGTGTGGTAGAAGACCCCAGACCACTGCTGCCAGTATGGTAGGAAAGGAAACTCAATATCCAGAATCAGGATGGACATCCTCATGTAGATATGGCCACAGGAAGCCTGAAGAAGTGCCTTCTCTGGCACTGTGTGCAGTGCGCTCATTTCCTTTAGCCTTCTGAGGACCCTGGGATATAGCTATTGTTTCCATCCCGAAGACGGGAAGACAGGCACAGAGGCTAAGTAATGGATTCAAGGTTACCTGGGTGGTGAACTACAGAGTCAGACTTCTAAGAAAACTCAAAGGAGGACAAGGTTTGTTTGTTTGAAAACAATATTACTACAGTTTTTCTTTTTTTAAATTTGCTTTAATTTTTTTTTATTTAATTGGGGGCAGGGGGAGCTGTAGGTGTGTGTGTTTGTGTACCATGCCATGTAAGAGGGTAGTAGGTTATAGGTTTGTGGGTACGTACGTACGTACCATGCCAGACATGTAGAATTCAGAGAACCCTGTGTAGAAATCTGTGCTCTCTTTCCAACATGTGGCTCCTTGTGGTATCACCCAGGTCACTGGGTTTGGCTTGGCAGTGAGCCCCTTAACCAGCTGAGCCATCTGCTAGCCTGAAGGCAGTTTCCAATCTCAGCCTGGGCTTCTGCCATGTGTCTCATATACATTTCTTTTCTGTCCTACATTTCAAATAGCACCTGCTTCACAGAGCCTGGGAGCCTGGGAGGACCACATTAGAAGATGCACATATGAGCCTATAGCACCTGCTTCACAGAGCCTGGGAGGACCACATTAGAAGATGCACACATGAGCTTAGAGCACCTGCTTCAGAGAGAGCCTGGGAGGACCACATTAGAAGATGCACATGTGAGCCTATAGCACCTGCTTCACACAGAGCCTGGGAGGACCACATTAGAAGGTGCACACGTGAGCCTATAGCACCTGCTTCACAGAGCCTGGGAGGACCACATTAGAAGATGCACACATGAGCTTAGAGCACCTGCTTCAGAGAGAGCCTGGGAGGACCACATTAGAAGATGCACACATGAGCTTAGAGCACCTGCTTCAGAGAGAGCCTGGGAGGACCACATTAGAAGATGCACATATGAGCCTATAGCACCTGCTTCACAGAGCCTGGGAGGACCACATTAGAAGATGCACATATGGTGAGATTCACGTACACTCTGATGTACTGAGTGAGTGAGTGTGTGGAGATGGTGGCAACAGCTGTTCCTGGAAAGACAGGACAATAACAAAATAGCAAATACTATAGAAAATTAAATTAGCGATTATAAAATTACCCATGTTTCTCAGAATTATGTGATTAGGAACTCATGCATTACAAATTATTCATATTTAACTAAATTATACATTCAAAAACACTTGTTCAAGAGCAATTATGATGCACCATTTTATTTTGAGGAATTTTGCATTGGCATATTTTTGTTCTTGCTTTTATTTTTTGAGACAGCATCCCATGTAGCCAAGACTGGCCTTCGTTCTTCTGCTTCTGCCTCCCAAGGGCTTGATTACAGGCATGTCACATTATACCCAACTCTGACATTGTTATTCAAAAATAAACCTTCTTTTCAAAGAGTTGAACATAACACCAAAGGGAGTCACATGTTAATGCCTTTATATTGCTTTCTAAACACCTCAGAGGGAGACTAAAACAGACAAAACCCGATCAGCAAAGTGAGTTCCTTGTGGGAACAAGTGAAGGCAAAAACAATGGCAGTCAACACCTTGGCATTTAGGATGGGATGGAAAAGAACTATCTTAACCTCTAAAATGTTAAATGAAAAATTCCAGAGATAAACAACTCATACATCTTAAATTGCATGGTGGCCTGAATAGCATTTTGAAACCTCACACTGTCCTTTTTGTCCTGCATAGGATGGGCAGTGACTCATTCCTGTCGAATGTCTTCATACTGTGTATGACACATGGCATTTCAGTTACTAGACCCCCTGCTGCAGTATTGAGATAGGAACTTCTTCCCTTAGACGATAAGGACTGGGTTGATGGCGGATCATGAGCTAATTATATCCATTCATGACCCCTCCTTGGAACGGGCAAATAACTCTCCAGTTGGTCAAGATATGTGGGCTCCTTGCTGGTTTGACCCATAATACACTATTTTAAAAATAATCAGTCACAATAAAGATCACCCAGTCTCCATCCACTTCCTACCATAAGACCCATAAAGGGCCACCAGGGAAAAATGCTGTGTCCCTTGCCGCCCACCTCATACGCAGGAGTTTCTCACTTTTCCTTAATAAATCCATATTTGCTTGGCTCACTCCTTGTCTGTGTTTCTTTATTCTGGGAAGTGGGGCAATATATTTGGAAGCCACTAGCTTGAGTGGCTTTGATGGCTGTTGAGTTTCCAGAACCCTAGTCCTCCAAGGAAGTCCACCAAGAGACTGGAAAAGCTCTGTTGAATTTCACCCACACTATGATCACAGTCCCTATGTTAAGTATTAGCTTACTTAATGATGGTGAGAGGCTGGCAAGATGACTCAGTATATAAAAATGCTTGCCACCAAGCCTGAAAGCCTGAGTTAGCATGTGTGCCCACATAATAACACACACACTCAGAGAGAGAGAGAGAGAGAGAGAGAGAGAGAGAGGTGAGACTGATGATTTGAATTCAAAGCTCAGAGTCCACATGGTGAAAGAGAAAAACTGACTCCTTCAAGTTGTCCCCTCCACACCAGGCTGTGGCATTGCTCTCCTCCATATAATACAATACACAAAATAAGAAATATTTGTGAAAATCTCTAATAATGCTGGCAAAGCTCAAGAATATCGATGCTGGCAGTTATGTTGCAGAATATTGTTATGATTGTCTACTTTATTATGTAATTGTTACTAATCCCTTCCCGTGGGCATGTATGTACAGGAGAAAAGAGGGCACAGGTAAGATTCGGCACTGTCTTCAGTTTCAGGTGTGAATGTCCTTCCCTAAGAAGGGAACTACTTTACTGTGTTTGGTCCTCTACAAGTACACCTATGACAAATCTAACTTATAATTTACACATTAAAAATAATAGAGCTATAAAGGTGGCTCAGTAGTTAAGAGTGCTTGCCACTATTGCAGAGGACCTGAGTCTGAGTCTCAGCACCCGCAACCACTTGGAACTCCACTTCTAGGGAACCCAATGCCCTCTTCTTCCCTCTTCCAACACTTGCACTCACAACTCTCTCTCTCTCTCTCTCTCTCTCTCTCTCTCTGTCTCTCTCTCTCTCATGCACAGAGTTAAAAATAAAATAAATAAAAGATAAAACTTCAAAATAAAGCAGAAGAAGTTATGTTTTTTCCTTCAAAATACTTCATTACACTCTAACACTCTACCCGCCCTTCTTTGTGTGATCACATTTGATGGGATAGTTCTGCAGGAGACAATGAGGCAAAGTGGATGATAAGGGCAGTGTGTGGAGGCAGGGGGACACTACACAGGAGCTCTTGAACATCCCCTTTGAAACTGCAGACGATAGTCTGAAAACTAAGGTAGCTCCCACAGTGGGCAGATAGTACAGTATAGACTGTGTGGATAGATTGGATTAACGGATGCCTTCCCTCCCCAGTGGATGAATTATATCATGCTACCAAAATGGCCCCTTATTTAATTGGTGAGTTATTTATCCCTGGGATTTCTCATATAAAGAATTTGGATTGTGGTTAGCGCCAATAACTAGAACAGCAGTAGGTGTAGCCACTGTGGAGGGACTTTGTTTGAAAAGGCTAAAACTCAATGATGCAAGCATTACTGTGTTAGCTACTTTTCTTGTTGCTGAGACTAAGTAGCCAACAGTAGCAACTTCATGGAGGAATGGTTCATTTGGGCTTGCAGAGGGGCTACAGTCCATCACCGTGAGGAGATTCTGTGGCAGGAACTGTGTCCACAATCAGGAAGCAGAGAGAGATGAATCCTGGCGTTTAGCTCACTTTCTCCTTTTCTCAGTCCTGGCCCCCACCCCCAGGCATGACATGTCTACATTCAGGGTGTTTCGCCTCAGTCTAACTTCAAGAGACTCTCATAGACAT